CCCCCCCCAATCACCGGGTCTGGGATGAGCTCAATAAGGCGGTCTATAGTGGCGGAGAAATCAACAACCTCGCTGAACTCAGCTTACCGAATCACGGTCGCGTGGCAGAATCTCTCGATGGCGTCCGTCCAGAAGGTTGCGGCGGATAATGTGTTATGCATTTGATGGTGGAAATGTCCAATCAGAATTTAATAAAGTGTGAACTTATAGCGCTTTGAAAGTCGAAGGAAGAAAAGTGTCTTTTTTGTCCCCCCCCCCCCCTTTACATCCATGCAGCACAGCCGTAGCCGTTTACCGTAAAGGAAGGTGTAGGAGACTCGGTATTGCTGTCTTTGCAACTGGCGCTTGCAGGCTGCCCTTCTGGGGAGGAGGCGGTGCGTCTGACATATAGGGTCTCGTTAAAGCCACTCCTCCGAAGACGATAGGAGGGGATATAATTCAGCTGGCCGTCTTTTCGTGTTGACAATAAGTCTTAGGGTCCACATTCTTGGTCCGACTTTCGAACTTACTCCGTCGCGCCAAAAAAGTGAGTGTTTCACTACCTTCATCTCAAACATAACTTTTTATCTTTTTGCTAATCTTTTTAACTTTTCAAAATCTCAGGATTGCTTCCCTCTAAGCGCTCCACTGTCCCAACTTCAATCCAGATTTTGCTTGGCATTTTTTCCGTGGGTGGAATCGGCGGATATCCTGCCGCCGGGGAGTCAATGCGAATCACGGACAATGAATATCATGTCCATTTGGCGCAAAGACGAAACTGGCACCTGTTGCGCAAGCGCACGCCGACGCTCCAGACTAGCAGGTCCTTCGCGAAAGTTTTCTTGTATAAAGAAATCCAGTGTAGAATCCATACCGGGAATTGCGAGTGGTCCCTTTGAAGGCAAAGTCCGCGATCATTCGCCCGGCGCCCTCATCCGCACAGCTGATTCCCCGATAAGGGCTCTACGACCGTACAAGTGACGATTTTCATGCTTTTTCGTCCTGCAGCTTCGTTTTTCACTGAAAGGCGGGCCTTGAAGGCGGAGTCTGGAGGCGGAGTCACTGGAAAAGGAGGCGTCACTGAACCTATTTTGCGTTATAGCGCCCCTCCCTTACAGTTTTTTGTCCGCGAAACCGGTACAGGATTGTTCGTCGCGGACCACATTACCCTCCCAATTCAACTTCTATACCTGGTCGCGGACCGCGCCTTTAAGGAGAACTACTTCGTATTTACCACAGTTAGTGATCATGTATCTATCCGTGGGGCGCCATACTGCCGTCAAGGGCAAGTTTTCGACGAGTTCGTTGATTCGAGGTGGGTTGGCTCAGGCGCCTGGGTGACGCCAGTCATCGTCGCCTCAAGCGGATGTGGTAATCACTCTTGCAGTGATAGAATTTTAGAGGGATCCACCCATAGGAAATGGGGCTGCGAGTGGTGAACAGTTTGTCGGTTGCCGTAAAGTAACAGAGCTGAAAAAGTCTGGTAATTTGTCAATTTGAGCGCTGTACTCGTACAGGAACATCCAGTCAGTCCAGTCCAAACGACTTTTTCGGATTCTAGCTATTATATTCGATTTTGAGTATTTGTTTTCGGCCTTCTACAGCTTTTTTCTGATTTTATTAGTTTGATATTAGCAAACTCAGCAGGTTTTCGTTTGTTTATGTCTTGATGCGTACATCTGGCGCCAAGGTATCACCACCCGTATAATGGAAACATTGCTATCAATTGCAAACAAATCCTGATATTTGACGGAAAGGAGAGCCATTTTCCGCGCGCAATAAATCGAGCGTGATTCGTCAAACCTGTATCTCCTTCGTTTTGCGTGATGGGGAATAGTCCGAGAAACCATGTCAGAATCTAGGTTTTCAAACGCTTCAGCACTATGGGGGGGGGGCGTAAGACGCCTGTCTTCAATTCAAGCTTTCAGGAAAACTAGAATATGAACCCATAGGATAAGGTCGGTAGCGTACTCAACTGAGAGATTCTCCCAGCTGCTCTCAGCGGCCACATGACATTCTTCTCAGATAGATCGGAAGTGCAGTGGCAAGTGAAACAAGACGTTGAAGACGATACATCCATTCTCCACAGCTTCAGTCCCCCCTCGCGGGTTCCTTTGCCGACGTCGTCACACCGGAACCCTTAATTGGTCCATTCAAAAGTAGACGTTCTTGCATAGGTGTATCGTTGTTTTTTTATTCTGTTTTCATGCCTCGATACTTTGAGACCACAGAGCCAACAATACTGTTGTCTGCTGTTCGGCTTAGAGGCGATTACATTTGCACTTTCGCTGTCTTCTTTTCTATTTTCATGTTGACCATCAGAATTTCTACACCGTTGGTTACTCCTGATACACTCCTGCTGAAGCTCCAATATGGCTCGAGTGTCTCAGTTCACACATAGAAAATTCCAACGCGCGAAATTTGTTGATTGAGCTTTGCCCACTGGAAATTTTTCAAGTTTTCCACCAAAAATAGTTTATCTGTTATAAGGTTCAGCCTGCAGTGCTATTCGGTGCCCCCATCGAGCCAAACTGCGTCGTAGTGTACTTGGTTTCAGAAGCCTACAAGTACATTCCGCATTGCCTGCCAAGACTTTGTATTTCTTTCCTGAGAGGGATGCGCAAAACGGTTTGGCGCATGTCACGATAGTCTATACCCGCTTGGAATGGCCGAATCTGCCATGGCAGTTGCTACCAAGACTTTTTGTGTTCTTTTCCCGGGAGGGATGGCTAAAACGGGGGCATGTGACGTGAATTAGTCTAACCGTGAGGATTCTCCGGGAAATTGCCCTGCACACCAACGTGATACGGAAATGTCCATGTTTCGATTTCTACGGAGACCAACAAATGGTCTCGTTGCAATCCAAGATTACGAGTAGCAGTAGTCAATATTATCATAAGTCGTAGTTTTTTTTTGGTCTGAATATCGCTAGAAAAGCTAGCGGGCGTGGCTACGGCGATGTTAGGACGATGTTGTAAACAAAGCCGGTATTTCAGGAATACGCATCCGAGGTACGTCCGCTCGACTGTCTGTAAAGACAAATGCGATCATTAGTCGTTCAGTCGTTTATTGCCATCAGATCTGGATGAGTTCAAATTCAGGCTCTTACTGATGATGCATGGAAGGAAGTGGTGGCAATGAATATTCCACAGCGAAGACAGCCTGACGATGAAGTTGGTCGAGAGAAGAGAGATGACTCGTCTCGGTCACGTTGCAGTAAGTCACTTGTAGTACAGTGTCTTGTTTGTGATGAAGATTCTTTTGTTCTGACATTGTCCAATGGATTTGCTCCATGCCTCAGACTGTCGCTATAATTTGCTTCTGTACGATTTGAATACTTGTTCGTATACCATTTACCGTATGACATGACCGTTTTTTTTTGTGCTGGGTGGTATATTCCTAAGAGAGGCAGGAATGATGCATTTTATTCGAAAATCAGGGGTTCGATGCAGTCCAGGCAGGGTAGATAGGTATAATGAGAGTACGGTGCAGTTATTTTTAGGTGCATTGTAAGCCCGCCACCCGTTTTCCTTCCTTTTCCCGCTTTAAAATTGAGTTGTGGTTAGAGAGCTGAACCAATGAGCACCCTCTTGACGTCTTTGCAGTCGAGGAACCCTTATCCTGCCAGTTCAAGATCGGTGCAGGCTATGAATTCAGATAGAAGTTAACGAGTGAACGCCTGGGCTTTAGCGCGGTACCAACCCGTTCTCCTTTGTCGTTGCGGCTTGGGGCATCCAGTGAAAGAGAATGGCGCGCGATAAAGCCCACCTACCGCTGACACGTCCCAGCTAACTACAGTAGTAACGACATTGAGCTGCTCAAGCGATCCAAGTAGAACAATTTTTTTCCAGATTGTCAAGTGCAGTCAAATTGCCCGCCCGGTCCACCGGGGCCACCAGGCCTCAGAGGCGAAGATGGAAGTTAGTTTTCTACTTTCAGTATGTACTGACTGGAATACTCGGGATGATGTTTCCATGGATTCTTTCTTTTGCAGTACCGGGTTACCCGGGTGCGCCAGGTCCCGATGGAATTGGTGCTGGATCGTTCAAGTTCGACTACGGCCAGGGCTGCATTCAATGCCCAGCAGGACGTTAGTTTCTTTTCTCCCATACTCCCATGAGAGTGGGAAGAATTTTTTTGTTTACTAGTCACGTTTCAGCACCCGGTCCACGCGGACCGCTTGGGCCTCCGGGACGTCCTGGCAGAGATGGAGATCCCGGTCCACCCGGCGTTCCCGGAAGAGGAAGTCGAATGGGAGAACCTGGACCACCAGGCCCTCGTGGAAATTGCGGAGAACCGGGTACGTTGACATAATAAATCCGGTTCAGACTGCTATAAAATCGACACTCTTCAGGATTAGACGGCCCGCCTGGGATGCCAGGAAGACCAGGACGCGATGGAACCCGATCGACACCTGGTTCACCAGGACGACGTGGTCCTCCTGGAGAGCCGGGCCCAAGAGGATCTCCTGGCCCACCTGGCGTTGCCGAAGAAGGACCAGATGGTCTTCCAGGTCCACCTGGTCAACGAGGAAGACCAGGCATGCCAGGACCAATGGGCAGACCTGGATTGGTAGGGTCGAGTCTTCCTTTATCTTTTAGGATAAGGCTGACACATCAAAGTCATTGCAGCCTGGCCGACCTGGAGTTCCTGGACTTGATGCTGAATATTGTCCTTGCCCTCCACGTGGTATCGCCCGATCTGTTCGCGAGGAAGCTGGCTATGAAGAGGATAAGGTGTCAAGTGATGGTGAGTGTCCACCTATAAAGACCTTCCCGGTCCGAATTTGGCGTATTTTCGATGAGACGTCGTTCCTTTACAGAACCAATCGTACATCCATCGTCGACTCAGGAGTTTGAGTACCGAAAACGTGTCGGCTTCCCGGAAACGTACGAAACACCGCCGAGAATTGTAGCAAGGCGACGCTTGCGATTTGTGTAGATAGTTTGTTGTCAGTTGTTATATTTATTGGCCTTATTCAGCTATTACTACGCCAAAAACTCGAAAAAATTTTCTCTGGTGGAATTTTGCTTATGAGGGTGATTCCACGTCCTGATCACGAGCATGACATTCGTTTAACGATAGCGCTATTAGGCGCCAATTTGGTGCCACCACTTTCCCCACCAAAATCGATGTAAACTTGCATACTGGGGTTATTCGTTGCCTTGACCACGAAAATGACATTTACCTCCGGCCCTGGCGCCATTTGGCACCGTTAGGCGCATCCTTTCTCATCAAAATCGATGAAAACTTGCATAATAGGGGTCTTTAGTGCCTTGTCTACGAGAATGGCATTCATTTTTCGACACCAGCGCCATTAGCGCTCTGCTGAGGTTGAACCTGGGAAAAGGAGTGATTCCGTGCAGGCCAAGCTCATCCTTAGCAGAGCGCGAATGATCGTGCTGTCCTTCATTAGGGCCAGCGTCAGGATGTCAAATAACCCCCGTATACAAGTTTTCAGCGGATTTGGTGATTTTGGAGATTTTGGCGCTGGCGCCTGTGGCACGGGCGCCAGGCAGTCTCGGGTTTCGAATGTGATAATCGTAAGGCTCCAAGTTCCCCTGAAACAGAAGTTCCAGCCGAAATCTGGCCACCTTAGAAATCTCGGTCGAAAACTGGCCTGTTTTCGACAGATTGTGGTAGTAATAGTTCATAACGTGCCTACTTATTTATTATTGGTCATATTATTTATTATTATTACTATTATTAGTTTTATGTTTTTTGATGTACAGATCGTCTGACCTCAGTGTTGATATAATAGGTAGTAATGTTGTAGATGAAATAAACACTGTATTTTCTCGTAAAAATTGAAACAAATGCGCAGGTTGTGCGGTTGCAGGTAGAGCGTACCGCTTACTAAGCGTACCACCTGACGTCAAATCGGCCCTGTTCGGTTTGGAAGGGACATTTTGCCTTGTCATTCCCAAGCCGAACAGGTCCTCAGGTGAGCACTAGTTTTTTTGCTAGTTCTTGTTAGCTCCTGTTAACATGCGAAATGATGCAAGTAAACCTCACGAGCAAATCCAGAGGACTCCACAAGGTGGCAGTAGAAGATTCGGTGAGTACTAGTTGCTGCCCACACCAAGCCGAACTGCGCCATCAAATCTGATCTTATACTGGTTGACCAAGCCTCCCAACCTCCCACGATTGATGGGCCAGGGTTCTCCTGACTTTAGATTGACGCCACCCCACTCCCTGAACGTGCTGCACAGGTAAGATACGCATTCGGATGGGCCCACGATTCCAAATAGAAGCCAGAGTTACGGCAAAATTGATTGGTAGAGGCGAAATGGTACATGTGTAATGTATTGAATGATGTAATTTTACTATATCTGATACAATAATCCCTCGAGTATTTAACAGGTTGTCCCATAACTTTGCTCGACTTTTGACAAGCATCTACACAATTTTCCCCTTTCTAAGTACCTGCTCCATAGTCTTACCAAAATTACCCGTGTACGGTCTCGTTCGCTGCCGATGCTAGTGCCTGTTGGAGGAGAAGGGGGAGAGCGTAAGTGGGTCTGGAGCGGCGCCAGTCCCACATTCACCAAATGCTGTCCATAGCCCCTTACAGAAGTTGGTGGAGAACAGGCTGACGTCGCGCTAAGCCCACACCTCCACACTGACAAGCTGCAGCATCCGCACTGGGCTGTACTGCGGCCGTTAGCTAAACAATGACTCCATGAGAATGAGTGAAGATGACGGTCGAAGAATCTGAGGTTTTGAGGAGGGAGGGTGCTCGTTCTTCGAGTTATCCACTGAGAAGCGAGCTTGATGCCTGTTGGGTGGCCCCGTTGGGGAACCCCAGCCAGGAAACCAATATTTGGCCGCTGGATCGCAGAACGGAGGGAAAGGGTTGCACTTGTCTTTGACAAAAACATTTCAGGTTGGTAGTGGACGTTTCTCATTTTTTTCCTGGGTTTTTGTTGTTTCTAGTGCTCAATATTGGGATAGTGTGAGGGAACTTTCCCCTCCATCCCTCGTAAGAGGACGGTTGAAACTCCTTGAATAAGTTCAAGCAATGTGGAGTAGGAATTCGCTGGACCTTCGCCTTATGCTGAGAATTGTGTTCATTTAGCGATAGGCTCGTAAAGGGTTAGGCCGTTCGAGCGCTACGGAGCGCTGATACAGCGCGCGTCATCAATCATTGTTAGAGAATCATGTTATCAGTCAGTAATCTGCAAAATAGTTCCCGTAACCCGAACTAACCATTTCTGGCGAGATGACGACGGCTGAAAGAAAAACTCTATTGGTTAGAGAACATGGAATCAGGTGAATGTCCAAAAGTCTTTTGTTTTACACACTCATTTTCATGCTTTTATGAATTTCATTTGTGCTGAGCTGTGATATTTTCATTTTTTCTCAACTTATTCCTTTTTTTGACAAATAACGTCTTCAAACTTCAGTTCCAGTGCTACATATAACCTGATCAACTTTCTCAATGGAATGATCGGCCCCGGTTGTTTCTCGGTCGCGATGGCCTTCAAACAGGGCGGACTATGGGTAAGTGTATTTTCGATGAAGTGGAATGGCAGAGGAGCAGGGCCTGGGCACAGTATCGCTGAGAGAACCCAATCTGGACCATACTCGGTCAATAGGAAGGAGGAGGGGATGGGTCGTGTTAGCACTGTTAGAATTTTTCCGAGAAAGCAAGGAGAATTTTTTGCTTGTCCACTCCCCCTCCCCCGCCTCGCACGCACCCACGGTAGTTAGCGACGTCATCAAGGTCCTACACAACTACTATTCCAGAAAGTTGCAGAAGCTCGTCGGTTGATAGCGACTTTC